TATATATATATTTATATATATAGTTGTTGTTGTTAAGTGTCCTCAAGTCAGGACGAACTCATAGTGACCCCTCCTTGAGTCCTGAGGTGGTATCACTATGAAAGTCCAACCTTCTTTCTGAGGAGTGGCTGGTGGGTTTGAACCACCAGCCTCTGGTTAACAGTTAAGTGCACTATGCTACCAGAGCTCCTATATATATAGAATGGTAACATATAATTTAGGCACTATGCTTTAGGCACTATGCTACCAGAGCTCCTATATATATAGAATGGTAACTTATAATTTATTTTCCAGAGCATGCAAGAAACATTATATAGAAGATTTTTTTTTTGTCCATAATTGCCCACTATCTCATTTTTTTTTCAATTGTCCATGCATACACAACAATGATCCATAATCTACTAGTCATAATCAAGTTATTGAGTGAGTCCAATTTCTAGAGCAGATTTTGACATATAAGATTATAGTATAGCATTGTTGTTGTTATTATGTGCTATTGAGGTGGTTATGACTCATAGTGAAGCTATGTATAATGGAACAAAATACTGCCCAGTCCTGCACCATTGTTAACAATCATTGCTACATTTGAGTCCGTTTTTGTAGCCACTATGTTGATCCATCTCGTTGAGAGATTTCCTTTTTTTTTCCCTCTAATTTACCTTTGGACTCACCTATCTACTGGGTGTGCAGAGAGTGCTTAAATGGAATTGGGCTGAGATATAACATATTCCATGCTGAAGAGGCAGATTTCAAACCTGTCTTCTGCTCCTTTGTCTACTTGTAGTTAGCATCTTTGCTCATTTCTTTAACTGTTAGTATCTAAGAACAGGACTATCTGGTGGCATTTTTGTTCCATTTCACTGCTAACCAGAAGGCTGACAGTTCAAACCCTCCAGCCACTCCTTGGAAGGAAGATTGGGCAATCTACTTCCATAGTTATATGACCTCGGAGACCCAAGGAGAGGTCACTATGAATCACGTTTGACCTGATGGCACATAACAACAACAACATTATGGTTAGAATATTATCAAATAAATGTGGGATCCTTCATTTTTCTCTAGCACTTGTGCTTATCAGATTTTGATGTGTGAGGATAGAAGTAGATTTTTATGTTTTCTTTGATGCCAAGACACTGGGTCTCCTTGGAATTCAAAGAATTAGGTAATTCACTGCCATCTTGTCAGTTCTGAATCCTAGCGAACCCCATTGGGTTTCTGAGGCTGTAAATCTTTATGGAAGTAGATCAGCTCATCTTCCTTCCATGGAACATCTGTGGATTTTAACCACTGACCTTCTGGTTAGCAGCCAAATGCCTTATCCACTACACTACCCTGTATATAACATGATTTCAAGAACCCATAAGATAAGATAAAGAACCCCTGGAAGAAGATCATGTTTGTTATAGGATGTGGTTTGTTGTGGATAAAGAAAAGTAGGCCAAATTGAGAAGGTCTTGGAAAAAAATAACAACTAAAAAATGTAAATTGTTGGTAAGCTCATAAAGATAATTCTAGTAGAATATCCTGCTTAGTCTACACCTGGTTTGATTAAATCACCATCACTGAAAAATAAATCCCACCCTCTAGCCTCAGTCATTAGCTCATCCTTGGATCTCTATATATCTCTATATGTACTTGAGAATTACATGTAAAATAAGAAGTACCATGCCTCATACATAGCAGAGTCTCATTAAATGATAGCTATTATTATTAGTAGTATCACATCTTCCTCATTATTATGATGACTAATGTCATATCTCACAGGAGCTGACAATTTTAATTACTTTGTCAAGTTTTCTAACAACCCACTTGCTGTTCAAGCAAATTTATTTTTTCTCTTTTGAAACAAGTGTTTGAAATAAAGCTATGAAATATAAATAGTGATCCCAGCATATCTGCCTTTTTGAAAGATACAATGTTATGTAAGTTATATTAAATTAAATCTTATTTAAATTAGTTAAATAAGACATTCAACTTTAAAAGGATTAAGTCTGAGGGGCTTGGTCTAACATTAAAAGGTACTGAACGTAATAAATGATCCTATCACAATAAGAGGTCCGAAATAAAGTGGGAGAAAAATGTGGAAGAAAATTCAGAATCATAAAAAAAAATAAACAACAACCCAGGCTTACTGATCTGATAGAGACTGGTAGAACCCTGAAGCTTATGGCCCTTAGACACCCATCAAGCCTGGAACTAAATTCAACCCTCCTGGTTCATCTTTCAGCCAAAAAATGAACAGGTCTATAAGACAAACAACAGCACCAGGGAGGTAAGCATTCCTTAGAACAATCAAACATATGAGACAAAAGGGCAGCATTTTTACAGGGATAAAGCTCAGAAAGCAGGAAGAGATGGGAAAGAAAGATGGAGGGAAATGGTAAGCACTGGGAGGAAGTAGGAAGAGTACTGTTCAATTGTGAGGACTGCAGTGTCACAAAACAAAGTGTGTATGAACTGTTGAATGGAAAACAAACTTGCTTTGTAAATTTTCACCCAAATCACAATAAAAATAAATAATAATGAGTTATCCTAATCCTTGTTCATTATTATTGTTGTTGTTGTTGTTGTTGAACAAGGATTAGGATGATCATTATTATTTATTTTTACTGTGATTTGGATGAAAGTTTACAAAGCAATTTGGTTTTCCATTCAACAGTTCATACACATTTTGTTTTATGACACTCACTGCAATCCTCACAATTTAACAGCATCCTTCTTTATGTACACAGACTTCATTCAAACCATTACCTCTCCTAATCTAATAAATATGTAACTTGCAGAAATTTTTAGAAGTCATAATATTTGTATATAACACAGTAAGGTTCTTAAACATCATATGGGCACTACAATCACTTAAATTAGTATGCTCCTAAAAGACTTTATATATATATAGCAAGAGTTCAATGAAGAGTGGTGTATAAAATGTTAAATTTCAGAAAAAATTTAGGAATATTATTTTATACTGGTTAAAAAAAAAAGCCTGCCTTACTAATAAGTCTTGATACTGACCTTCTTTGAAGTTCTTTGCTTCACACGCAGGAATCTGGATTCTGTCTAGCTCACTAATATGATAAAGATCATCAAATTCTCCCCAGCGTGTCATTCCCCTGAAAAGTGATAGGTCATGTAAGTGACATCAATTCTATTTATATTGAGGTCTATGATGGTTTTAAGATTTACAGTATTAATATAATATTTTTAGGTTTCTGTAGGTAGACAAACAAGGCTAATAACAATGTTATGATATTGCTAAAATTGTATTTATACCAAAACCAAAACCAAAACCACTGCCATTGAGTTGATTCTGACTCATAGAAACCCTCATTGGGTTTCAGAGGTGGTAAATTTTTATGGAAGTAGATTGCCCAGTCTTCCTTCCATGGAGTGGCTGGTGGGTTTGAACCACCAACCTTCTGGTTAGCAGTCAAAAGTTTTGGGCACTATGCTGCCAGAGCTCCTTATTTATACCAAAATGTGTTTTAAATACTTCTTATGCTTTTATTGAGCATATCTTGCCATCATGCCACAATAATGCAGTTACACATGGAAACACAAGATCAAGATTATACAGAATCTGTAAAATTTATATGCAAATGGAATTAGTAGAAACCAATGTAACACACTGTTATAAGGATATCATAATATTCTTAGACTATGTAGGTACAAAAGTATAGATTACTCAAACATACATTGAGTATCTATTGTATTGAAGCATTGTTTAGGTAGAGTATATCTGAAGTAGTAAGACATTGTGCCTGTCTTTAAGCTCCTTGATTGCTATGAATAATGCTATTACAGAGGAGAAAAATTTATGAGAAGCTTCTTTGTTGGAAAATCATGACTCTATATAATCTATATAAGATACCAGCACTTGCCAATGCATTCTAGAGCCCAGAAGAAAAAAAAAAAAATAGACAATTGCTTGTTTTTTACAACAGGGAAAACACTTTTTTTTTTTTTTATTATAATTTGGGTGAAAGTTTACAGAACAAATTGTTTTTGTATTCATACACGTTTTGTTTTGTGACATTCATTGCAATCTCCACAACGTAACACCACTCTTCCCATTACTCCCTGTGATTATCATTTCCTTTTGTCTTTCTTTCCTATTCCTTCCTGCCTGCTTAACTTTATCCGTAGGCAAATGTTGCTCTAATACTTCCTATTATTTTTTTTACTTACATGCCTATTGGAAGGAAGCAAGACAGCACAGAGGTTTGGAGCAGCCGAGGAAGGCCAGGAAGGAAGTGAGGCAGTGTGGTGGGTTTGGAATGCTGAGGGAGGCTGTGAGCCAGGGTGGAGGGTTTGAAGTGGATGAAGGAGACCAGGAAGTGAGCAGAGAGGTTCAGAACAGCTAATGGAGATGACTTATCTTGTCAGTTTCTCTTACTGTGGTGGTTGCTAAGACAGACTCGGAAGAAGGAATAGGCCACTCACTTCTCAAAGAGTTGGCCAGTGAAAACCTTATAAATAGCAGTGAAATACTGTCTGATATATTACTGGAAAAATTTATGAATAGCCTTGAAACATTGCCTGATATGAGCCCTCAGGTTGGAAGGCACTCAAAATACAACTAGGGAAGAGCTTCTTCCTCAGAGTAGAGCTGACTTTAATGATGTGGATAGAGCAAAGCTTTCAGGCCTCCATTTGCTGATATGACATGACTCGAGATGAGAAGAAACAGCTGCAAGCATCCATTAATAATCAGAACATAGAATATATGAAGTAGGAATCTAGGAAACCTGGAAGTTTTAAAAAGTGAAATGGAATGCATGAAGATCAATATCTTAGGCATTAGTGAGCTGAAATGGACTGGTTTTGGCCATTTTGAATCAGACAATATATGATCTACTATGCCAGGAATGGCAAATTGAAGAGGAATGGCATGGTATTCATCATCACAAAGAATGTATCAAGATCTATCCTGAAGTACAATGCTGTTAGTGATAGGATAATATCTATACACCTACAAGGAAGACCGGTTAATACTACTATTATTCAAATTTATGCACCAACCGCCAAAGCCAAAGATGAAGAAATTAAAGATTTTTACCAACTTCTGTACTCTGAAATTGACTGAACATGCAATCAAGATGCGTTGATTATAACTAGTAATTGGAATGCAAAAGTTGGAAACAAGAATCACCAGTATTTGGAAAATATGGCCTTGGTGATAGAAATAACACTGGAGATCTATCACATGATAGAATTTTGCAAGACCAATGACTTATTCATTGCAAATACCCTTTTTCAACAACACAAATGGTGGCTATACACGTAGACTTTTCCAGATGGAGTGCACAGGAATCTGATTGACTACACCTGTGGAAAGAGGCAATGGAGAAGCACAATATCTTCAGCTAACACAAGGCGAGGAGCTGATTGTGGAACAGATTGTCAACTGCTCATCTGCAAGTTCAAATTGAAGCTGAAGACAATTTAAAAAAGTCTACAGGAGCCAAAATATGACCTTGGTTATATCCCTAGAGACAATCTAAAGAAAAGATTTGATGCATTGAGCACCAATGTCCAAAAACATGAGGAATTGTGGGATGACATCAACAACATCATCCATGATGAAAGCAAAAGGTCATTAAGAAGAAAGGAAAGGAAGAAAAGAGCAAAATGGATGTCAGAAGAGACTCTGAAACTTGACTTTGGGCAGAGAGTAGCTAAAGCAAATGGAAGAAATGACAAGATAAAAGAGCTGAAACAAAGATTTCAAAGAGGAGCTTGAGAAGACAAAGTCAATTATTATAGTGAAATGTGCAAAGACCTGGTGTTAGAAAACCAAAAGGGGAGAACAGGCTCAGCATTTAAGAACTGAATAGGAAATTTAAGCCTCAAGTTGCAAAATTGAAAGATTCTATGGGCAAAATATTGAATGATGCAGGAAGCATCAAAAGAAGATGGAAGGAATACACAGTCAGTGTACCAAAAAGATTTGGTTGATGTTCATCCATCTCAGGAAGTGGCATATGATCAAGAACCAATGGTACTGAAAGAAGAAGTTGAAGCTTCACTGAAGGAATTGGCAAAAAACAAGGCTCCAGGAACTGATGGAATACCCACTGAGATGTTTCAATAAATGGATACCACAATGGGGGCACTCACTTTGTTATGCCAAGAGATTTGGAAGACAGCTACCTGGCCAACTGACTGGAAGAGATCCATATTTGTACCCATTCCAAAGAAAGGTGATCCCACAGAATGTGGAAATTATCGAACAATATCGTTAATATTACACACAAGTAAAATCTTACTGATGATAACTCAAAAATGGTTGCAGCAGTATATTGACAGAGAACTTCTAGAACAGCAAGCTGGATTAAGAAAAGGATATGGAATGAGGGATATCATTGCTGATGTCTGATGGATCTTGGCTGAAAGCAAAGAATACCAGAAAGATGTTTACTTGTGTTTTACTGTCTATGCAAAAGCACTCGATGGTGTGGATCATAACAAATTATGGATAACATAGAGAAGAATGGGAATTCCAGACACTTGATTGTGTTTACCAGGAACCAATACATAGACCAGGGGGCCGTTCGAATAGAATGAGGGGATAGTGCATCATTTAAAATCAGGAAGGTAGTGTGTCAGGATTATATCCTTTCACCATACTTTTTCAATCTGTATGTTGAACAAATAATATGAAGAAGTACATGGCATCAGGATAGGAGAAAGAACCAAAAAAAAAAACCTCACTGCCGAGGTACATAGGTACTTCTGATACCTTGATTGCTAAATTCATTGGTGTTGATTGTAGAACCAAGTAATGTGAAGTCTTTGACAACTTCAATATATTCTCTTTTTTTGTGTGTTGCTGCTTATTGGTCCACTTGTGAGAATTTTTGTTTTCTTTATACTGAGATGTAATCCAATCTGCAGATGGTAGTCTTCAATCTTCATCAGTAAGTGCTTCAAGTCATCCTCAGTTTCATCAAGCAAAGTTGTGTCTGCATATCACAGGCAGTTCAAACCCACCAGTCACTCCTCGGAAGGAAAGTTGGACAATCTACTTCTGTAATGATACTGCCTTGGAAACCCAAGGAGGGGTCGCTATGAGTTGCAGCTGACTCTGCGGCAGTGAATTTGGTTTGGTTTTGGAGTTACTGACTTACTCTCCCTTCTCCTCCCAGCCCTGGTAAACTTCAAAAAATAATTCTTTCTGTATGTAAACCTTTTCTTAACTTTTTACAGTAGTGATCACATATAGTATTTCCTTTTGTGATTGCCTAATCTCACTCAGCATAATATCCTCTAGGTTCCTCAACGTTACTAGGTGTTTTGCAGATTCATCATTATCTTTAACATTGCACAGTATTCCATTGTGTACATGTACCATAGTTTGTTTATCCACTTATCTGTTCATGGGCATTTAGGTTATTTCCATCTTGTGATTGTGAATAGTGATGACATGAACATGTTGTTGTTGTTGTTTGCCGTCGAGTAGGCCCCGACTCATAGCGACCCCTCCTTGGGTTTCCGAGGCAGTACCACTACGGAAGTAGGATTGCCCAACCTTCCTTCTGAGGAGTGGCTGGTGGGTTTGAACCGCCAGCCTTCTGATAAGCAGTCAAGTGCCTGAGGCACTATGCTACCAGAGCTCCTGACATGAACATAGGTGTGCATATATGTGTTTGTGTCAGGGCTCTTATTTCTCTAGGATATATACCTAGTAGTGGGTTTGCTGGATCATATGGTATTTCTATTTCCAACTTCTGAAGGAAGTACCATACCACTTTTAACAGTGCCTGTACCATTTAACAGTTCCAACAGTAGTGTATGAAGGGTTCTAGTCTTTCCATACCCTCGCCAGCATTTGTTATTTTCTGTTTTTTTTGAACTTTGCTATTAATGCTGAAATGAGATGATATCTCATTATTGTTTTGATTTACATCTCTCTAATTTTTATCTACTTCCATAGTGATACCACCTCGTAAACCCAAGGAAGGGTCACTATGAGTCGGGTCCGACTCAATGGCACATAACAACAACACAACAGGTCTCCTACTTTGTTTTTCTTTAGTAGTGCTTTGTTTATCCAGGGTCTCTTTCCTTTCCATATAAAGTTTTGGTGATTACTTTTCATCTCTTTAAAGAA